TTGTCTAATAATAAGTTGACTTCTTATGACTGCAAATAGATGTTTAAGCAATTATGACAAAGTTACATTTTAGAAATGGAGGAGGAAAGGGAGCTTATCCAGCAAAGTTTTCTAAAGTCTAAAGGCAAAATGCACATTACCTAAATCTTTGGTAAGTGTTAGAGTTTGATTGAGCACATTACATCCATATGAAACTTATCCCAATAGTACATATTTTCCTCTCCTTTGATCTAGCATAATCCACTTCTAGAAATATTTTTTAAAAAATTTTTCCTCTCATTGACAGGGCTACTTCTCTTTAATCAAGTATAATAGCTGCTAATGTAAAAGAAAGATTAGGACTTGATCTTCTCTTTCTTTCTTTCTTTTGTTTTTGTTTGTTTGTTTGTTGTTTGTTTAACTGATGTCTCCCTATATTGTCCACGTGGGCCTGGAACTCACAACCATCCTTCCTTAGCCTCTCAGGTAGCTGAGATGACAGACACACACCTATAATCTCACCTGGCCAAGACTTGATCTTTGAGAAGATGCATAAAGGCTTGTATTGTGGTGTTGTGGTCATTTAATAATAATGTTAATAAAACTTCTCAAAAAAAAAAAGAAAGAAAAAAATTGGTGGTAGATCTAAGAACACAGTAATTACTGTCTGAAAAAATAAGCAAACAGGTTTACAAAGTAGTTTAATAATTCTGTTCCAATCAGTAACATATCAACCAAAGTTACCGGAAGAACTGGAAGATAGAAGTTATTCTTCTTGCTGTTCTCCCCAGACAAAAGGAAAAATAAACCTGATGCGATAGATTGACTGCGTGATTAAAAATAATGGCTTCCCTCCTTTCAGAGTCTTTACCCTGGACTGTGTAATCCTCTCTCACTCTGACTCCGAGTTCAGCTACCTGGCTGGTTTTAGCCAAGCGTTTATTTAATGTGTCCCAAACATAAGCTTGAAAGGACACGCATGCTTCTCCTTGTTCTCTTAAATAGCTGGACTGGCTCACTCCTGGACTTTTAGCCCACCTACTGAAGGGATATCGGAGATAAAGCTGAGTTTTCCAAGCTAAAGCCATCCTCGTCTGGACAGTCCTTTGCTGAAGTGCCAGATAACAATGGATGCATAAGCTAACCCAGCTCAGATGAACCCCAACCTGTATTCGCATAGCTACCATGTCAACCAAATAACCAAATATGAAAAACAATTAGTGTATGTATTTTAAAACTATCAATTTGGGGGTGATTTGTTACACAGCATTATTATGATAATAGAAAATGGATGCAGATTCATTATATTCTGAAAATCATTCTAAAACATTATTACCCACTTTTTTCACTCAATCTGTTGAGTAACTGAACACAGTATTTTTCTCATTTCTCTTTTTTCTTCTCAATATTTTGAAATGAAATGCTTCATTACAGCTTTAATTATTTCTCTATTATTACTACTGCTTGCATTTTAAGTGCAGTAGTTAACCAAAGTTACCTATTCAATGCCCGGGTCAATATTTTATAGTTAAACTAAAACTTTAATCTGTAAGTCATTTTTAGAGCTGAAGGGAGATGTCTAATAAAAAACAAGCTTAATTTGAGAAATTAAAAACTCTTAAGGGCTTTGGGGAAACAAATCCAAAAGCAAAGAAACAAAACCTTATTCCAGGATACCTAATAAGAGCTTAGAGTATGTGCAGTTCTATGCTGTTCCATTTTCTAGGTTAGGGTTTTCAGTTATGCCCATTATGATAACAACCAGCATCAGCCAATCTGTTTTTTGTTATTATGAATCAAAGCTCATTCTCAAGAGACCCTTCACTTTTTGCTGAGTTTTTCATATTTTTCCCAAGGAAAGTAGTATATCAACATTGGTAGGCTCACTAGATGAAGTGAAATATTAAATTAACACAATTAAATTATTAAATGATTCCACCTTGTTGTGAGATGTCTTTACATGGGATTGGAAACCATGAACAATTATATGCATACATATATATTATAGTTATGATATATATATAACTATGTATATAAAAATGCATGTATTTTAATATGCATATATTTTTAATATGTATATATGTATCTATTCTATATGTACTCTGATATATATGTAAATATATAAAAATATAAAATATTCATGTACTCTGTGATATATACTCTATATTATATGTACTCTAATATATGTATATAAAACATGTACATACTCTATAATATATATGTCCTCTAATTATAATGCATGTAAATAAATGAATATATATATAATATATAAATATGTACTTTGAGACATTGGGAAGGTGAAGTCACTTGCTTTTTGCTCAGCCACTCAGAATTTTTTCTTTTCCCTTGTATCATGAATCAAATGATATTGCTGAGCAGGAAAAGTTTTGAGCAATATGGTATACAGCCCCCAATTTCTTTCCTTCATATTTCTGTGGGAGTAGAGAATACTGTGAATCAGAAAACATAAATGATTTTTATATCTTAAATTTATGAACCCAAACAAAAGTATTTATGTACAGTTAGTATGAAGGAAGTTAAAATTCTAAAGCTGTGGAGATGGGCTGCTATAATTTCTTGTGGATCTGTAGCCTGTAGAACCTAAGAGAGTGTAAATCAGAGAAGCTAAAAGCCAATTTCTGCCTCCTTGTTGGAAATGACGACATATTGTCTGCTTGCTGTGGGTCAGACTCTCTGGTAAGTGTTTGACAGACATTTTATTTATTCCTGATATCAACTATGCCATTCAAAGGTAAAGACAATTGGTTGTCAAATCCAAGAGCTCCTCCTTCCCCCACTCTCATACTGACTTCCACTGCAGTAACTAGAAAAGTGACTTGATTTCTCAGCCTGCTTTTTATCAAGAGATGGCCATGATATAAAGTTCTGGCCAATGATGTGTTAGCTAAAGTAGGTTTGGGAATATCTGGGAAAGACTTTGTTTTCCTAATAAAAAGGCAAGTCATGACTGATTATTCCACCTTTCTTTCTTACTGTTTTGAACGTAGACAGAGCTGTAACAGCCATCTTTTCATACATGAGAAAGGCAAAGAGGATTACAGAGAAGACAAACCTGGCATTGCTGAACCATTTAACCAATTCCAGTAGTCATCCACCTCCAGATTTCTTGTCATGAAAGAGAAAATAAGCTCCTAATTGTTATTGTCACTGAGGGTCAAGTGTGCCACTGCTTCAAGTTATAAGCATTCCTGATAGACGTTGCAAATTCCATATTCTAAATCAATCCCACTACTCCCTATCCTAGAAATAACCTTAATAATATCTCCAAAACTTCTCAACACAAATCTTATGTCATAAGTTCAAAATTCACGAAAGATGCTGGCTGTAAACTCAAATTACTTAATTGCTGATTTTAGTACAGTCATCAGCAATAGCAGCAGAGTTAGTCAATGCAATTGCTCAAAGATTTGGGTTTTGTGTGGCCATGAGGTAGATTTAAAATAACAGAAACCAAGAATAATACGAAAGTACAAAATATAGGACTTTCAGAGAGCATTTTTACTAGAAGTAGGACTCAGATAATTTTATTTCTGAAGGTTCTGAAATCCTCAAGCTGCTCCTTCTAATTTAGAGAACTTTAGATCTACCAAAATTATTTGCTGTGAAACTGAGTTATAAAGGCAATCATTCTAAAACTGCATTCTCAGATTTTGGTATCATAGAAACAGATCAGGCTTTATAACCAGATAATCACTCAGTAGCTTAGGCACCTGAGGTGAGGTATTTAGCATGATTGTGTTTCAGGGACCTAATCTAAAATTCCGGGCAGTTGTAAACTAAATGTATCAAATCTGTAAAGTGCTTGGGATAAACCATGGCATACATTAGATAGTCAGTAAAGTTTTGGTCTGCTAATCTGATTATCTTTTGATATATTACTTTATTTTTTAAGTGTCTTTAGACAAAAGCAGAGGAAGAAATTTGACAGTATCTTCAACTACTCTCATTCTTAAAATAACTTCCTAGCTTAAAAAAAAAAAAAATTTCAATTTCTTGTCTCTAGGCATGAGGCAAAGACATTGTGGTGAGAGTAGTCATTGATCCTGATGAGTTGCCTGATCGCACTGAGCAAATAAATACTGGGTAAACTCCAAGTTCAATGAGAGCTCATAAAGTAAAATAAAACCACAGCAGGTTCTGTTTGCTCCATCTGCCTAAAAGGTGAAGAAAAATGAAAATCTGGTATCCTTTTAGCCTTCTGTTTATTTGTTTAGCAAATATGAGATTGGGTAAGAAGCCCATGGTACATTAGGCAGTCTGGGTCACAAAATGTTAGCTGTAAATGAAAAGAAAAACTTCACGTCGTCTTTTATAGTCATTCCCCCTCTAGATTGTTCATTCGATAACTATTCAAACTCCTTCTGTGTAGTAGGTACTGAAGCTACAAAAGTTGATACTGTACATCTCCTGCCCCAAAGAAGATCTTCTTTAATGCTCTGAAGTGAACTGTGCACAAGGGGTAATTGGTGTTGTAAGTGGAATAAGAAACCTTTAACACTAGCTTCTGGGTGAACCACAATAGACAGCAACGGAGGCTGAGAATGAGCAGTTTGTAGAGACTGGATAACAAATGCACTGCAGTTCAGTTACGTATAGGTATCATGACTCAAAAGTTCTTCTTCTGCCCTGCCTCCCTGCTAATACACTGTCTGTGTGAGAGGATGGAACAAAGGAGACCAGATAATCCAGGCTTGAACTGACCCAGAAATAGGAACACAGCCTGAGAAAACAAAGAACGATAGGTCATCTGTTCCTTGGACCCTAACTCTGAATTGCCAGATGACTACTCTGCCAAGTGGGCAGCCTGGGAGCTTGGCTCAGATGATGGGCAGCCTGGGAGCTTGGCTCCTATGCTCATAAGGTAGCCTCCTTCTGAATATGAAGGGTAGAAACTGAAAGCACCGATCGCAACCATGTGTCACTGTGTTTTCTATCCTGCAAGAGAGGAGTGAACAGAGATGGAGAAGTAAAAATGAAATGGACATACAAAAGAATCTTACCCTATGATGTAATATGAAAGTAGAGATTACTGTGCAGTAAGTTTTCCTCAGCCCCAGGATCAGATGTTCACAGAAATTTTCTCAGAAGACTTCTCCAATGTGGATATACTTCAAAGAGTACACAGAAATCTCATCACACTGTGGAGGAAGGGAAAGCCAAGGATCAGGGAGCATGCCCACCAATGCAACAGCAGACAGGTAGAGAAGAGATATATGCATCCTGGGAAAGAAGTTTATTGGACATAACTGGGATACAGGTGCTTTGTGTGTATAGAAGGTGAAGGCTGAGAGGATAGGGAGAAGAGTAGGCAAGAGAAGTAAGAGGAACTAGAGTCCTGATGGATATATCCTTTTGGGTGGGGGGATGGGGTACTGGGGACTGAACTTAGGGGCACTCAATCACTGAACCATTTCCCCAGCTCTATTTTGTATTGTATTTAGAGTCAGAGTCTCACTGAGTTGCTTAGTGCCTCACTTTTTGCTGAGGCTAACTTTGAACTCACGATCCTCCTGTCTCAGCCTCCCTAGCTACTGGGTTTACAGGCATGCACCAAAGTGGCCAGTTTTGGATATGGCCTTTGATGCAGAGGTAGAGTCAGACCCCAAGTCAAAGAAGCTCATATTTGCTCCACAAAATGACACATCTTAAAATTTCCTATAGATTATATAATAGAGAGATTTTATATTTTATAAGGTCCAGATTTGGGTTTTTTTTTTCTTAAAATCTCAGATATGGCAACAATCATAGAATTCAGGCCTTCTTAGTCCAGGTGGCTGCAGGTTTTGCCCAGCCAACTTCACTCATCTTTTATTCTTGCCAGCTCCTAGAAGGCAAGTGAGTTTTTTCATTTCTAAGCTTGATGACCAAAAGACAGAAAAACATATTTTAATAGGATACTGATAAGATCACATTAGTTATATGTTCAACACAGTAAGCAAAAAAAAAAAACACAATTCTGCTAATCTCAGCTAGCATTTTAATAGTTTAAAAAGCCCTCACCGTTAGCCATGCAGTTTTAATAATAGATAAAATGATAAAATGGGCCTCTGAAATCTAGCTCTCCTGTTACCAAATCCTCCCTTTCTCTCCCTATTTAAAAGGATTTTTAAATCATAGAGTCCACCCCAGGAAGCTATAGGAGATAAATTTTATTATGCTGAACTCCTTTAAATAATTCAGATAAAAGAAGTGAACTGAATAACACTCATCTATGATATTTTCATGTACGTTAAATGCTCAGCTTTACTCTAGTTGGCCAAATAAAGGTCTCTTCTAAATTCCTAGCACTTGCAGAGCTCTTCAGCATGTATGTTGCTGGGGTATATGCCCTCATGTGGGGCTGGTTTGGTTATGTCCTCAAGTCAGAGGAAAGTTGGGTTTAATAATATCAGCATGCATCATTACAGCATGCTAAATTAAAACCAAATTAATATCTTATCCTCAGGTAACTCCTACTTTAATCTAGACAGTCTCACTGAAAGAGATTTATTAAAAGAACTAGGAGTTAGATTGTTTTAATTTAGCTTTTCTTTTATTAAGTTTTACTAATCAAATCTGTTTTGAGATTCTCCAAGATGCATACCTAAGGTGCAGAAAGATGTAAAACTTCAGGAGGGATGGAAGTTGCAGAATCCTTTCAAGTAAAGATTGGCCATTGGGAATTATGAACAGATATGTCTCACGCTCTCATAATGAATGAACACAAGGTGGATAAAAATGATTGGCAAAGGGGTAGAAGATTTGTTAACATTCATTGAGTTCCTTCTACTTTTCAGGTACTCTTTTGAGCCCTCCAAACATTATACATCTAAACCTTTCAATAAACCTATATGAGGTTACTGTTTTCACTTTACAGTTGCAACAACTAAGGCCTAGAGTGATTTAGTAATATATGAAAAAAACACACAGCATAAAACGGCACTCAGTTTTGAACCCTGATTCCAAATATGCTTTGGAATGAAAGTTAACATTTGAAATGATCAAACGTTTTGCCAAGTGTTGCCCAAATGAAGGGCTGCTGCTAATCTCAGCTTTATGGGCGAATCTATTTTTTTTTTTCCTAAAGAGAGAGTGAGAGAGGAGAGAGAGAGAGAGAGAGAGAGAGAATTTTTATTTTTTAGTTCTCGGCGGACACAACATCCTTGTTGGTATGTGGTGCTGAGGATCGAACCCGAGCCGCACGCATGCCAGACCAGCGTGCTACCGCCTGAGCCACATTCCCAGCCCCTTTATGGGCGAATCTAAAGCCAGTTGCACACATCTGGGTGGGCAGGGTCATGGCCTTTCTATACTAATTCTATCATTAAGGGGTACCACTGTAAGGTGACATAAACCATCAAGCTAACAGCAATGCTGTTTGTCTGGAAAGTTGTGAAAGTATGGACCACTCCTCCTAACTCCTATCTAAAGATCCAAACCATTTTTAAGGAGATCAATTATTGAGTGCCTGAACAGATAGTATCCTTTCAATTGGCATAAATAAAAGTACAAGATCCTGCTCTGAGTAACAGGAATAAATACATTCACAAGGAATCAATCCTGTTCAAAGCTCTAAAGTGAACTGTGCATGAGAGGCCCATTGGTAATCTTCTGAACAGAAATCCTTAAACCTGAGACCCTCATTCAGTTGTTTCTTTAATATTTCACTAGTTCAGAAGAAAGGCCTGCAAATACCTCCCCTAAAGTAGCAGTAAACCCACCCAAATGTTTCTGTATGCAAAGAAACTATGAGACCAAAGGATAAGAATTATGAAACAGATAAGAAAGAAGGATGTAATGGCAGTAGGAAGTTCATGATTACAGACTGAAGTGCATCTAGCAAGGACCTCAATACCAAGGCCAGGGAGCCAGGGGCAGTAGAGCAGGACTCACACAGGGCTCTGAAAGCCAAGAGCAGATCACATCCCAAAAGCCCAAAGAGAGTCTTGAAGGAGCTGCTGCTCCCTTTCTGATGACTTCATTTCACATATAGATTTACACAGGTATCCACCTACTTTCAGATTCTGCTACCTGTCTTGTATGAAAAAGCAAAAAGACAGAAAATAATACCCTCCAAAGGCAGGGTGGGGTGGGGTGGGGGACTAGTAATAGCAGTTATCAGAATTTTAAATGGATCATTATTCTACTTGATGTCAACAGTTCTACTGCAAATGGGCCCACTGCCAGAATCTTGACATTATTTTATATCCAGACATCACAATTTTTCCTAGTTACAATAGCATGTGCAGGAAGCACTTATCTCCCTGCCCATAGATTGTCTCAGATTTTAAACTCCCAGAGGGAATGATATATTTTACACTTAATTTTATATAACCTACTGCTCTTTCCTTTAAGAAATAACTCATTGCCTTTATAAAGCAGATTATATATTTCAGTAGAGTTTTTCTATTATATCATTTTATTTGACTCTCATTGTCTTAGGAGAAAGAGCAAGATGGCATTATCCCAATTTTAAAGATAAAGCTTGAAAGGAACATGGTTTCCCAAGAACATGGAGCTATTCAACAGGAGAATTGAGATAAGAACATGCATTTTCTTATCTAAGGAACAAGAACCTAATTTTTAGATTCATTTATTTTGAAGAAGAAAAAGTCACAGTGATTTTCATGTTATCCTCTTAAATCTACTCAGCCTAAATTACAGATCCAACGATGGGAACACATGAGCAGAGTCCAGGATACGGGTTGTTCAGCCCAGACACTGTTTTAAAACACAGGGTAACAAATTACTTTAGGGCTGGCAGAAATTTGATTGAAGTAGTTCCTTTGAGAAAGAAGTTCATTTTGACTAGGTTTAGACTGAATTAACAGTTGATATAATGGTCTGTTGAATGGCTTTACAAAAAAAAAAAAGGTCATTGCTGCAAACTAAATATTTGCATCCTCAAAATTCAAGTTGAAAACCTAACTCCTGTGTGATGATATTTGGAGATGGGGCCTTTGAAAGCTAATTGGGATTGGATTGTACCATGAGGGTAGAGCTCTCGTGATATTAGTATTCAAATAAAAAGAGGAAGAGATGCAGGATCTCTTTCCCTGTGTGCAGGGAAGACCTGTGAGACATAGACAGCAAGAGAGCCCTCCCTACAATAATTGGCAGTGCTGAAATAGTGATCCTGGACAGCCACCCACCACAACTCTGAGAAACAAATGTCTGCTGCTTACACCACCTGGTCTATGATATTCTGTTAGAGCACATGGAACAAACGGAGTCATATAGTTGGACAGGTGTTATACATGATCACAACACAAGCTTAGCTCCAATTCTTTATACCAAATGGCCTCTGTTGTTAATTTTTGAAATGTGACCTTGCAGCTCAAATAATAATTTGCCCTTACTGTCTCCTAAAAGACATTACACTAAAAATACTGTTTCTAGCAAGTTATAGCTCTTAAAATGCTACCACTGAGCTCTATCACTGAGTCACAACCCCAGCCCAAGTTGGTATAGCATTTGTCTCACATGTGTGAGGCACTGGTTCAGTTCTCAGCACCGCATATAAATAAATGAATAAATCAAAGGTCCATCATCAACAACAAATATATATATATATACATGTGTATATATATACATACACACACACACACATATACACATACCAACTCAATCAATTAAAAATTCTACAAGTAATATTGACCAAGTCTATTACATGATTGCCTCAGAATGCCATTTACTCTGCAATGGCATTTTACATATTATAGTAGTTCTCTTTATCCATGGGGATATGTTCCAACATCCCCCAGTCAATGCCTGAAACCTGGAATAGTAAAATAACAGTCAAGTGAACACAATAATTGTGATACCATGACCTTCCGTATGATAATTGAGTTAGCTGCTAAGCAACTAAAGGGCAGGTAGTATACACAGTGTGGATGCACTGGACAAAGGGTGATTTGTGTCCCAGGCAGAATGGAGTGGCAAAATGAGAAATTTGACTAACTCAGAATGCAGGCAATTTAAGAATTATAATCTCTTAAATTATAATTTGCCTTTTAATGTTTTTAGACCATAATTGACAGATAGTAACTGAAATCATAGAAAGCAAAACCAGAGATTCCAGGGCGAATGCTTCAAAAAAGGACCATCTTAGAGACACTCTTGGAGAGATACAATGCTTACATTTTGTGGGTTAAA